CTTTCCATTTATTGTAGTGACTGATGTAGTTGGATTAATGGCTACCATCTTTGTAACTGTTTCTATCATTCATCTTCTCCATTTTTTGTCTTCTTCCTTTTTCTTCATTCTCCTCTCCCCTTCTCAGCTCTCCCTGTCAGTGGCGTTCACTTTGGCACACATGACTGAACGCTAGGCTTCCCCTCTAAACCACTTCGCTAGCTCCCCTTTTTATTAATTCGTTTTGAGACAGGGTCTGGCTAACTTGGTAAATTACTCAGGCTGGCCTCAGGTTTTCGATAGTGCTGAGATTGCAGGCCTGCGGGAATGCACTGCCTTCTGTTTTCTCTTTAACTGAACGTTTTAGCCCATTCCATGTTCTCTTCTGGCTTATTACAGAAATTCTATTTAGTTAACTAATTAACTATTACTGGGTACTGGAGGTTGAACCTGGGATGCTTTACCACTGATTTGAATCCCCCTGCCCTTTTTAGTTTTTATTTTCAGACAGAGCCTTGCTAAATTATCTGGGCTGAGCTCAAATCTACAATCTTAGTGCCCCATCCTCTTGAGTAGCAGGGATTATAGCCCCACACCTCTGTACCAGCTTTTCTTACTTGTATGAGACAAGGTCTTGCTTTGTAGCTCAGGCTGGCCTGGAACTTGGAATCCTCCTGACTCAGCCTTAGAAGTTCATGGATGCCAGCCGTGGTGGCACATGCCTGTAATTCCAGCTTTCCAAAGGCTGAGGGAGAAGGATTCCTGTAAGTTTGAGGCCAGTGTGGGCTACACAGGGAGTTCCAGGCCAGTGGGAACCATATGGGAGACCCTATCTCAAAAAAAAAAAAAAAGTTTTTGGCTTGTAGGTGTGCCCCACCCAGCTATTTCTTTATCACATTTTAGCAGTCATCCTGTTGTGTACAGTATACATTCACACCTAATGGATACCAACTTTTGTTTCGTTTTTTCTATAGTGCTAGAGATTGAACCCACATAGGGTGTTATGTGTGTTTGACAGGCATTATCACTGAGCCACATTCCTACATCTAATCTAGGTCTTTTTGTTTTAAGAAAGGTTAGCACTATGTAGCTGGTCTTGAGTTCACTATGTAGCTCAGGCTGGCCTCAAAATTGTGGCAGTTGTCCTCCCTCAGCCTCCTGAGTGCTGAGATTACAAGTGTGCGCTACCAGGCCCAGCTCATAGAAGATTCTAAAGCTGTGTTCATTTCAGAAATTTCCCAAACTCAATTTCTAAATGAGAATACTTTGGCAGTTCCAGAGGGCCCCTGTACTATCTCAAAAGAACTTATTCTTTCTCCTGATAAAACAGATTTTGCCATAATTATGTTTATCTTATCTGTTAAATTTGCTAGGGGAAGAGTTGTCAAGTAAGAAATGATTGGGTTGGATGGAACATGCACAAGGTTGGGGACTGAACCTCCAACCCATAGATAGTTCATATTTGTATTATATTTATATGTATATAGGTTATCGATCCAAGTCCCAAAACCTGCATGATGCTCCTGGATATCTGTTATGCTCTGCAAGAACATTATCAATCGTAAGTTTAGTTATGTTCAAATATGACATTTGAGGCTATCTTAAAACATCACATTTAAGATCTTGTATGTCCAACAAATTTTTTTTACTTTGCGTTTTTATTGTAATGAACTGCCATCAAATCTTTTTTCGTGGCCCTTGTTTCCTGCCTTCCATAGATAATTCGTTGTTTTACTACATTGCCTTTATTCCTTTCCCAAATAACTGTGGTCCTAAACTATTTCCACTTCTAGGAGGTTTCTGAAAAGCATTGACAAGTAGAAGTTTCTAACTTCAGCATCATACAGTTGGACTTGATAAGAATTGTCCAGAACTCTTGAGAAGAAACAGATTGGTTTATAAATCTGGTAACCAAACATCAAGTGAAGCGATAATTAATCCTGGGCATGGTGGTGCATGCCGGTAGTCCCAGCATCCGGGAGGCTAACGCAAGGTGATGACTTTAAATTGAAGGCCAACCTTGGCTACATAATGAGCTCAAGGCCAGATAATCTCATAAAAACAAAAAAACAGTGCCAGGAATACAGGTCAACAGGCACAGTGCCCGCCTGGCCAGCGCAAGGTCATGAGTTTGATAAAAATCAAACTAAAGCAATAAAAGTGAAACAAGTATTAATTCTGTGGGATTGAGTGAACAGATGAAGGATTGATTTTGGGGGTCTTTTGTTTGAGACATTGCTTGTTCTCATGTTTTACTTTTAAAATCGAAGGAAAACTTTACATAGAGTTGCTGTCCCTACTTGACAGCAACTTTGTAAAGCAGACCTTTGTGAACAAAGATGAAGGAATTATTTTTTTTCTTACTGGACCATCTCTAGAATTTGGGTACAGTTCAGGATTACTCTTGTTTTCATGGCAATAAAAGGTCTGCCTGAAGTTCAACAGGGATTTCTTCTCTTTGAAGTTGGCTAGACTTGTCGAGAACATCTTTTTTGACTGTGTTCATCACATCAGTGAGACTGGGCACTTTGAAATGATTAAGGTGGCTTTACAAAGCCCATAAAGGTTCTTCGTTCAAACCAGGCCTGGTACTGGGCTTAAAGAGTCCAGCTTCATGAGAGGAAGGCCCGAGAAAGAAAGACAATTTTGAAAAGAGAGCGGGTCATCCCAATCGGTAGGTGTTATAGGCAAAATCAGATGGCAAGCGCTAGGTTTGGCTCGACTTGGCTTTGCTCAATTTGCCAGCTAGGACAGGCTTTTAAACTGGTTTGCTTATTAAAAGTTCCCGCAAAGCTGACTTCCAAAGAGCTAGGGAGCTCATCTGTGCTCTTGCTGCACTCAGGTAAATAATCAAATCATGTATAAGGAAACCGTGCTACCTTCCAAATTAGTTTTACTGTGATTATCTCTAATAAAAGTGGGGGTAACTTTAGAGGAAAACTTTACATTTCAATAAAAAAGTGTGGCGCATATATATGTATATATACACAGACACAGACAGATAGCTCGATAGACACACCAATATCAGATTTTAGTCTTTTTTACAGTCCTTGCAATTTTGGTATCTACAATCTGCCCTGTTTCTGAAGTCTGACAGGCTGGACCTGCACTTCTGACGTAAAAAGTTAAGAGGAGAACCTTTAAACCTAACGTGAGGGCTACTTAAGGGTGGCCCTAGATTCTAGATGTCATGCCAGAGCAATCGACATGCAACCAAGAAAACACTCTTCAAACCCAAATTAAGTGTTCTAAGACTCACTCCCTCTCACTTCTCAGAGTGAGTCGTATGTTCCTTCCAGCTGTTCAGACTCTTTCTTTTGTTAATTTTGGTTGGTTTGGTTTGTGGGACCCTTGGCCAAAAAGCATACTCCAGTCTTTGCTATCTTCCTCTCAGTGATCAGCACTGGTTCTCCCTGGTGTACCATGTTCTCTCAAAGGGCTTAAATATGTATCCTCTGTCTCCCAAGCCACTAGAGTGTGCCTGCTGTTCTGTGGGTCTCTGGCCCTGAGGACAATGATTCAGGAGGATTTTCAGGAGGAGAAAGAGGATCAGGAAGAGGAGGAAGATGAGGAGGAAATGAGGAGGAGGAGGAGATAGAGACCAGATTACATAGTGAGTTCAAATCCAACCAGGAATGCAGAGTAGTTACTGTCTCAAGCAAGGCAAAGCAAAGCAAAGCAAAGCAAAGGGAAAACAAATGACAAAACAGCACAATAGTATGCTATTTTGTTGATCTTACTGTGATTGGTCTGTGATTAGAGCAGCAAAGAACAAGATCCACATCACAAAGAAAATGTCTGCAAGGAGGCTGCCGTGGTGATTTATTTATTTGGTCTTGTTTGTTTTTTTTTTTTTATCGATACCAGGGTTCAAACTCACGACTGCCTGCAAGGCAGGCACTTACGCCTGCTGAGCTAAACCCCCAACCCCTGCCATGCTGATTTATGTGATCCTCACCGAGACAAAGCCAAACCGGCCAGGACATTCATGGAGAGCAGGACTTGTACTTCGATTTTGGTCAATCTCATAAATAAGAGGAGAGCAGAAAGGAATAATTGTTTCAGCAAAACTTTTTGGGCTGAGAAGTCCCAGAGCTTTGAATTCCTTCATGGAAAAACGAAAGTCAGCATCAGCACTGAAACAACCAGAGATGTTACCAAGCAAAAACCACCCATCTCTAACCATCCACCTTCTACTCTAACCAATCAAATTTATTTCCTGTTTTGCTTCCCAGGAACACATTAGAAAGTGTCCTCTCTTCCCCCCACATACAGTGTCTGAGCTGCTTAGAGTCAGGCTGATTTATGAATTACTGAATGCTCAAGTTCTCTTTTTAAAATTTTAGTGTGCTCACGTTTATCTTTAACAGTCTGAAGTTACCTGGAGATGGGTGTAACTATCTGGTGCGACAGTGTTTTATTATACATAAAAACTGTACCTCTCTAAGAGAATTTGCACAGGCACACCCTGTGCGCCAGCAAGCTCTTCTTGGAAAACAAGATTCATGCACTTTTCTTTCTCTGGTGCTCAGAACTGAACAGAGGGAAATTGCACTGACCTAAATTTAGCTCATCCCTTTCTAAAAATCTGAACTACTTTGTTATTTATAGGCAGAGTCTTCCTAAGTCACTAAATTGCTCAGGTTGGGCTGGAAATTTCCCTTTTCTGCCTTAATTTTGCTGGGATTGTCAGTGTGTGTCATCACACCCAGCTATACTTTTGTTGTTGTTTTTGAGGCAAGGTCTTGATATGCAGTTCAGGCCGGCCTTGAGCTCATTTTGTAGCCCAGGCTAATGTTAAACTCACAACAATCCTCCTGGTTCAGCCTCCGGAATGCTGGGATTACAGGCATATATCACCACAGCAGCTTTGTACTTTTCTGACTGTGTAATTTGTAGTTATAATAGATACACATTGGAATGGAGGCATGTTGGTCAACTGTCAGAAAACCGTGTGTCTCCGTGTCAGAGCCATGACTCTTGGCTGCATCAGTATGGAGTGGATTTTAGTCACAGGGCTGTTTTGTGGCCAGCTTGAGTGTTTTATGTAAACATTAAACAAGGTTGCTTACTTTTTACTTTAATTCAACAAACATATTCATGATCAGAAGCACTCTGTGTCTGGATGTCTCCCCAAAATCTCCTGTAGGCATGGAGGCAGGCTCATAGTTTGTTATTAATTCAGGGTCCAGTGCTGAGATTATGGGGTGAGTGCCACATCCGCCCTAGATACAATATAAAGGACAGAAAGAGTGTCTCTTGGCTCCTCCTTTTTAAATTTTTTTCTCTCGCTGCTTTTGCTGACTTATGGCCACCATGAACTATTTCTCTGCCATGCCACCCTGCCTTGGAGCCAGCTGAGTGTGGATTGTAAGCTCCACAAACTGTGAGCTAAATAAACCTTTCCTTCCTTAACTTTGAGTGTTAAGTATTTTGTCTCAGCAAGGAGAGAAAAAAGTAACTGAAACCGACTCCAAACAAACAAAACGTTACTACAACAACAACAGCAACAACAAGGCAATGTTTGTTCTTTTCTGGCTGATAGGTCTTTATAGAGTGCAGCTGGAGTTCCAGGAGGTGGTAGGTGCCATGGGACCAAGGAAGCCAGGAATGTCACGTTCTGCCCTGAGCATCCTGGGACAGTGAGATAACTGTGAAGCCAGGAAAAGGGAAATGAGCGTGTGCTTGCAGGCCTTTCCCGGCAGGCAAGTGTGGTAAAGTGAGTCAGAGGGCGGTGTGTAATGGCTGCTTGTAGCAGTCTTCCCTTTAGTCGTGCCTTGAGGCCAAGGTGAAGTCAGAGGTTACACCTGGGGTTAATCTGTGCGTGCTGATGGTGACATGTGTTTCCTCACTTAGGACAACAGTGCAGTGCGTATTCATGTGGGTTCCATGGTGTAATGGTGAGCACTCTGGACTCTGAATCCAGCGATCCGAGTTCAAATCTCGGTGGGACCTTACTGTTTAGCTGTGCTGAGGACAATTTTCCTCCGCAGTGTAAACCACACCCTCTGAAAAGCTTGGCGCCCAGGATGTTAGTCAATGGGGTGATTCAGGTCCCTCTGTCCTGGGAACCTGTGGATGGAGGCTTAAACAGAACAGAACCTAAACAAAAGCAAGAAACCTGGGGGCCCTAGAGTCCTCTCGCACCCGTTCTTTTAGGAGGCAGGCAGGTTCCCCGCCAGAGATGGAGGCTGTGTAGGCCAGGGCTCTCCAGGTCTCTGCGTCCTCCCGCTCTCGGTTCCATTGCGGGGCTCAGCCGGGTCCCCTGCGCCCTCTGTCGGCTTCTTAGGAGTCTGCGGCGGGAAACCAGGCTGCAGGGGAGTCTGTGTCCACGGGGAATTTGCCGACCCCCACCTCCGGGTGTTGGCGCCTGGGTGCCCCCTTGGCCACCTCGCTTGGGGCACTGCGCACCTTCGGCCCCCTGATCTCGCTGACGTCGGAGGCCCGGACTCGCCCGCCCGGGGACCCAGCGCCTGGGCCAGGGCCCCCAGTGCTCAGGTAACCCCTGGGCCTCAGGGCAAAGATGCCTGTGGGCACAGAAAAGGGGCCACCGGTTCAGCGCCCTGCGATGTCTCTCCCCTGGAACACCTGGCAATTGCACCGACTATCTTGGGGTAAGGAGAGTAGAAATGAGAGCAATCGCGGCGGCCTGAGCTCAGCGCCGAACAACGGAGTTTCTGTTTGGGATTTGTGGTTGGAGTCCTGAGCTCGCTGTGTTGTTTTATGCAGGTGGCTTATTGTACTCTGCATGCTTGCTCCCTGGCTCTTTAGATTCGGATTTCGAACTCTGCGAGATCCCCTGCCTCAAGCAGAGTACTGGATTACATCATGCGCCTTCACACCAGACCATTTAACATTTATTTCAGAGTTCTTCCCTCGTACTTTGTTTATAGTTTTGTCTTTTTGAGACAAAATTTCGCTATGCACTTCAGACTGGCCTTGAACTCATGTTGTGGCCCAGGCTGGCCTCGAACTCAGAGAACTTCTTTGAACAGGATTTTGTATGTCATTTGTGTTATGCCTGGCTTTTCCATTGACCCCAATCAATCTTGTTATTCTTTGCATCACCTAAAACCTGTTGGACGGATTTTTCATGGTCCTTTGCTATGTTTAAAAAATCTTTCTTTTCATGATTGCTAATCACAATCCTCACATCTTTATGTGATAGTGTGTCCTGATGGTGACTCATTGTGCTGTTGTTATGGATTAAGAACTGGTGGTCAACTCAACGCCAGCTGGAGAACATCAGCATGGCAGCTAATGAAGATGCTCCATCTGAGGAAAGTTGCCAGTGGGTTAAAGGAGCTGTGCTGGTGAAATGAGGGTTCTATGCTGGAGCCAATAAGTCACACTCACAACAAAGACCAGGGCTGTCCTGAAAGGCACCACAGCCATCCTCAGTGACATGGAGGCCCCGAGCTCCTCCAACAACAAACACAGTCGGGTACATGCCAGGAAGCCATCGTGACGAGCTTATCCTGGAGACCAAGCAGCACACGTCTTCACCTCCGGAGCCAGGAAGCAGTGATCAATGTGAGAACCAAAGCTTCTCCAGGAGAACCAATGGCTCAACCAGCAACTCGTGGGAGAACCCACAATGCCTCAACGCAACAACACATTAATGCCTCAGCACCTTCCTTCTCCTTCTCCACCTCTTTATGCTGGCAACTTTCCTCCATTACGGAGTAGTAGTCCAACTTCCCCTTGGTAGTCTGGGTCAATCACCCCTGACAACACTGTGACTCTGTTTTTAGCTTGTTTCCTCAGAGGCATGAGGAGACCAAGATGACCAGGGGGAAGTCTTAGCTTTCCAGTTCAATGGTACCATTTTCGTGCTTCCTGGCATAAGCCTTCCCCACTCTGGAACCAAAACTTGTAGGCCAGCAGAACATGAAGTCATGGGGACAGGAAGCAAAAATTTTTCTAGTGGAAACTAGGGGTAACGGTGAGTGGTACCATTACTGCTTCTACCCCTTGATTCCTGGACCCATGAATCCTGGCTATGGGAGAAGCTCTAGTCTTTGCCTTTGGTTTGGACCTCGTCTTCTGGCTTCCAGTGTAGACTCTTCGGCCTTTCATCACAGAGCCTTCGGCCTTCCGTCATAAACCATCAGCCTGCTGGTGTGGACTTGCATAAGACACTAGGGTGAACTCTTCATCCTGCTGGCATGGACTTTCTGGTTTCCACCACTGACCCTTGGGCTTTCCCGACATGGATCTGTAAAAGAGACTGACATGAGTTCTTCTTGTGGGCTCTGGACCTCCAGTTGGACTCATGGGAGGCATTGTCGTGAGCTCTGGGTTTTTATCTGGACTCATGTGGGACATTGCTGTGGGATTTAGGCCCTTGACTAAATAATCTATGTCTTTGGTGTTGTGGATAGATTTCCTGCATTTTTTTGTGTTGACTCCAAGTGACCACTATAAAAATACTATAAACTTTATGTCCTGATTCTAATTGTTCTCTGCACAACCCCTAACTAGAACAGAAATTGGTACTGAGAGTGGGGTTATTGCTGTTATGTTGCCTGACCATGTGACTTGGAAGCCTTGGAAATTAATTTGGGAAGTTTTTGGGAGACTGGCCAAAAGACAGCCCCTGTATACTTGGGCACTCTGGCCAGAAGCTGAAGATCAGAGTACTGATGGAAATGCTGCCAATTAAGATGAAGCTTGGGAGGCTTCTATTGTGAAAGACTGCAGTGGCTGCTGGAGTCCAGCTAGTATATTGTGCTTTGGTCTTCTTGTTTGTGTTTAGAGATATTACCTAGGTGGCAGAAAAATTTCAGTGCAGTCTACTTTTGGGATGGTAGCATGGTTACTTAGAGAACTTTTGACCAGATCTATTTTGAAAATGTAGAGCAAAGAGCCAGTAGAGTAATTTAAAACACTTGGCCAAGAAGAAGGCTCCATTGGAAGAGTAGATTGCAAAGATGAAAGAGAGAATGTGGGAGTTTAAAAGAGGAGAACAATGGAAAAATCAAGAGAACATTTGAATTGCAGGAGATCCTTATATGTTAGTCTTGCCATGCCACATTAAATGTTAATGGGATGCCAGGACTGTAATTGTAATTGTTCTTTTAGTGTGATTTGAATGTTTTTCTATGTTTGTAACCCAATTGATTTGTCAAAGAACTGTGTTTTGATGTTGAACCTTGGTCACACTTTAGATTTGTTTTTGGTGTAGGAATTAAGTGTAAAAATATGCAATTATTGTATTACTGTAAGTCTGAATACACTAAGATGGGTTAACTCTCACAAATCTGCCGCTAAGCACTATAGTTAAAGGAAATGCCTGTGGTTATTAAGTTGACCGGGGTGGACGTAAACTTTCCTCAGGTGGAACATCTTCATTCAGTGCCATGCTGATGTAATTCAGCTGGCGTTAATTTGACCACCAGTTCTTAATCCATAACAGCTGTGTGTATTTTCCATGGAATTTTTAATCTCCTGGTTATCTGTATCAATCTGTTTCATGGATTCCATTTCATTCCCATGTTGGACATACGTGGTTTCCATCATTTTCTTAAGCTTGTCTTTTTTGATTTTAAATCTGTTTCTGCTCTCAAGTTAAGAAGCATGTCTGTCATTGTGGGCACCATTTCTGAAATTACCTGAGAAAGTATTTCTATTTGATTTTTTTCGAGAGCTTTGTTCATCTGCTTTTGTTTCTTCCACTGTTATCACTTTAAAGATTCCCTTTGGGGGCCTTCAGATAGTTCCCCGTCATTGTCCCCTGGGTTCGCCTTTAGTGCGCTGAAATTCTGGGCTCCATCTTGCTTAAGTGTCTTCTCATTTTCTACTTTTATGAAGTTTAATTCCTGGCTTGATGGTTGCATCCCAGGCGGCGTTAGTGCTAGAATTTAGAATCCTCAGGAAATGACGGCCTTTTAGACGTTTCTGCCAGGTGTAGTGGCTTTTAGGTTTTGAGTCTGTGGCAAGATCCTACCTCTTCAATTTGCTGGGGATGACTAGTTGCTGGCCCCTTGGCCTAGCCCCTGGTTCTTTGGCAGTAGCCTATGGTATTGTTTATGAGCCTTAGGCAACCTCAGTCTTGGTGTACCAGGAAGAACAACTGATTAGGACAATTAAGTAACACAGTGAGCAATAACAATAGCATCATACAGCTGAAGAAATAAGCATCTTGTAAATACTAATTTGCCATCATTATACATATGAACTATATTTGTTGTTATAAAACAAAATCTAAACTGAGCCAGAAAATTGTACATAGTATGTACCCCTCAATATGGTGATTTTACCTTCAGAAGAGAAAATTTTCAAAGGGTTAGGGCAAAAAAATAGGGAAATAGTAGAAGAGGAAGACAGTAGAAGTAAAGCTGAAAGACGAAGATTACAGAAAGTTTCAGCAACTGGTGAAAAAGATAAGGAGGGAAAGAGAAAAAGAAGCAGTAAAAACAAGAACAGAGCAACAACTGCAAAATGTAGAAACCATGTTCGTAGTTATAAGCCCACAAACATGAATATCATTGTGGTCCAGAGCTTATAATCTGTAATTCAAAGGAAAATTTATTGGAACTCTCAAGAGTAAATTCCTATCTACCACTTCTAATGCAACCCATGGCAAGGAAAGTGAGACAGAGATATATCTGCAACTGGGGGAGGCCAAGGTGGTTCCAAGCACAGTGCAACGAAAGGCTAACTGGAATGAAGGCCTCAACCCTGGGCCAAATCTGGTTCTAATAGTTCATGAGAAAGCGGGTGGCTTGAGATAGAGTGATTGTGAGAATGGCAGGGACTGTGTGAATTCTGCAAGCTGGGCTATGTAGGAGAGCAATGGTACCTTTGCAATATGCAAAGAGGGGTATGCAGGAAGAGTACCAGGTTCTATTAACAGTTCATTTCTAAGTTTGGAGGACTCTGTAAAGCACAGTGTTCACAATTGACTGTGTTTTGGGACGGCAGCCTTAGCTCTGATGCTGGCCTTACTTGCCTTGGGACATCACTGCCTCTTTCTAGAAGTTCCATCCCAGCCAACAGCATGGTACCTCGTGGCCTAGCTCACACTTAATAAGAGGGAGCTATAGGCAGAAGTGCACACAGACCTTCTTTGCTTCAAAGGCTTCACATCAGTGCCTCAGCTAGACCCATCCGCACTGCTTAAGTCCAATCAAGGAGGTTGAGCATCTCCCTAGCCAGCTCTGTGCATATCAGTACACAGGAGGAGGGCAAAGGTGAACCAAAATGGAGGCAAATTGTCTTCTTTCAGGATGAGCCATCTTGGTGTGCTCCACACACAAGAGCAAACCAGAACCACAACACAAAAAGACAATAAAGGCAATAGTCTAAAACATACAAAAGAGAAAACTTTAATAAACATCCATTTCACGCCATGTGTTTGCTGTGAGTAATAGATGACAGGAGTAGACAGAAACCAGATCCGAGTTAATATTCTCAGCAAGCCAGCCATAGCTTTATGGCATGGTAGTGGATAATCCCAGAACGTTGGCACCTTTGGTTCCACTGAAGTTCAGGCTGGTAGTTCTGGCTATCAGGCTGGAACCTGATTGTTCAGCATACAATATTCCATGTGCCTCCTGTCAGCTTGAACTGGGCTCCCTGATCTCCTGTGGACTTGAACACACAGCCCCACCCTGACACTGGGGCCACTAGATTGAGCTAGCACACAATTATTCTGAGTTTTGAGCTCAGTTGGCCCCTCTCCAAGGTGGCTACTGGCCAGTCACCCTCTTCTGACGGATGTCTGAGCCTGAATAACTCACCAGCTATTGTAGTCCATTGTGGTCCCTGCTCCATTCCACTGGTACATTTCTTTGTTGATATCTTTGAGGTCGGCATGCCACTTTTAGAAGCAGGCTGCCTGATAACAAAAACTGCTGCGAAATGGTCATATATGCCTCAGTAATGGAATGTTAGAAATAGGTCAGAAAATGTTATTAGGTTCTTACCAGGGGTGAACACTATTGAATGGAATGCTAACACTGCAATTGAACACTGGAAATTGCTTGTAATGAACAGTATGCTACAAGATGTTTTGAAATACACCAATAATGAAATACAAGTAAAACATTCTATATGCATTAATAGTAATGCTCAAAAATATATTTATCACAACACCTAACTATCTGAACTAAAAGCCTTCACTGCAAGACTTTATCATTCTAACTGTCAAAATAAATGGATTTAAGGAGCTGTAATAGATATGGGGTTGAGGTTTTTAGAACAATAATGACACTCAAGAGATTTGGTTTTCATCAAAATTACCTATGTTTCTATGACAAAATGACCTATATGAAAGAAAAACCTGTCTGGCTGCTAGTCACTCAGTTTTTGAAAATCTCGTTTTGAATTTTCAAGCAATTTATGCACCATCCAAATACATTACTAATGAACAGCTTGCATCATCTCACAGTTATTGTAGTTTCGGCAATATATGCCAAATAACCTTTCAACGATGCTACAAAAATATAGGCCCTGGTAGATGTGAAGACATTTTATGCCTTGAATTAAGAAATTTATCCTGGAACTCAGTCACCAGATTTTTGTTCATGCGTAATCAACAGTATGAAGTTGTTTAGACAGCCTTATTATATCTATTTCAAAAAGTAACCCAAATGTCACATTCAACAACGGTTTCACTACTTATCCATTGGTGTTACATTTGCTGGAATACCAGATGACCAACAGGAGGTTTTGGGAAGAACAAGCAGAGATTCCTGAAAAAAGCTTACATTGTAAGCTTACATTGGAGAAATGTAGAGTACAACCCCTGGATTTCAGAAAAGCATTACATTGTCCTCCTATATGGCAAAGAAAAACAAGGTAGTGTTGATACTGTCCACATTACACCATGGTGATAAGATTGACAGTGAAACAGGGCATGCTGGTACGTGCATGTCATCCCAGCCCTTCAGAGGCTGAAACAAGGAGGCTCCTGTGAGTTCAAGGTTACATGCTGAGGTTCAAGGCTAACCTGGACTACACAGTGGAGACCCTGCCTCAAGGGGGTGGGGGGACCAAAAAAACTACAGTGAATTCTAACACAAATGAAGCCTTCAGAAACGGCTACATTTTACCATAAAACCAAAGGCAGAGTAATGTTGACCAGTTATGAAGCAACCATTATTACATCACTCAAAACACAAAGCACAACAGAGAAAGAATAATATGTATCTAACCAAAGAACTCTTTAAAAGAATTCTGAAGCAGAGAGGTGAAATAAAAACCTCCTGAAAAAACAGGAAGACCAGCAAGTCAAGTACAAAGAAAGTCAGGAAAACAAAACGGGTGCTATCAGAATAAGCAATTCTGGTATATGGAACATGCTGTTTTCTTGTGTGAAAATTGCCTTCAGTGTAATAATTCAAGTAAAGATTACTTCTGAGGTAGATTTTTATTTCTATTTTCATTGTAGTTCACATAGATTTTTTTGTTCGTTTGTTTTTGAGAAAGGGCCTCCCTTTGTAGTGCAGGCTGGCCTTGAGCTCGTTTATGCAGCCCAGGCTAGCCTTGAATGCAGGCTAGTCCCCTTGCTTCAGACTTAGTGCTCTGGGATGACAGGGGTGCACCACCTTGCCCAGCTGCACATAGGAACCTATTATTTTTTAGATTTAGTAAGTGAATAGTTGATGCAAATATAGTTTTTCCTAGACAGTCATAGCATATTTAGTATTTTATCTGTTTCACGTTCCTGCTGAGTGCCCACTGGACAATGGGAATCTCCTGACAGAACAGGAGGAGATGTCGAGTATGACCTGCCAAAACATAGGAAAGCAAAATGTAGGCGCTGTCAGTGTGGAGTTAGACTCAGGTATGGAAAGTGCTGTCATCGTATGTGAAGGCTGCCTTTGGTGTGCTAACTGTGGCAAACATTTTATCTGTGCCAGTTTTGTTTGTATGTTCTTCGTAGTACACATAGAACTTTACTTTTTCTGTTATTTTTTAGATTTTGTAAGCAGGTAAATAACTGATGTTGAAAATGATGTTTGTTCTAAACATTACATATTAAAAATGTAATCATAGAATTTTATTTTCCTGATAAGTACATGTTAAATAAAACAAAATTAGTAAGTTCACAAGTAGAAATACTCCTGAAAAGTAAATGTATCCCTTATATACTCTCCAATATGCCCTTTCCAAAAAAATTTACCATTGATCCTCCTATGTGGAACGTTAGGGAGGGTGACATGTTGCACCTACACATGAGACCTAACAGCCTTAGGCAAAAACCAGTTTATGAGTTAGAAGATTTTCAACGTTACTTTGAAGGTTTTCAACCTTACTCTGAAGGTATAATGAAGTAGCTGAAGGTATAATGGGCCCAGCACAAGAATGTTAGCAAACTTTCCCAAGGAAAGTGTAGCATCAGAATTAGAATTGTACTAAATACAGTACCTTGGCTTTTCGGGCCCTGCTGCTCACTTATCCTAGCCCGCGTACAGGCTTGCTATTACTGGAGATTATGTTGGTCCTCCACAGCAGCAGTACATCGTTGCGCTGGTAACTTTGGAAGCCGTAAAGGGTGCAGGAAGGTCTTTACACGCAGCGCGTTCCTCAATGAGCTGTCCACTTCCCAAGCATCGCGTAAACTAAAATGTCAGTCCAAATAGTGGTGAACGTACAACTCACAAACACCAGGAAAAACAGCAGTTTAAACTCCCTACAAGACACCACCCCCATAAGAAACTAGAACAGGACACCTCCTGAGAAGAACTTGCAGAGAAAACAAGAAACTACACACTTCCCTTTTCTACAGTACCATCTCCACGCACAGCTCTGTATTACAATGATACGTTAGGCTAGCATGAAGACAGACAAGAGTGTGAAATAGCTGCACTGACACACACTACCGTGTGCACCATCACGCGAGGCTTGTTTCAACCCAAAAATCTAAGGTCAGACAGGCCATTTCCAGGGAAAAGCTCGATAGCGGTTCCCCACTACCACAAATCATGCAATCGAATTTTCCACATTTAAGGAAATTACAGGTGTCATAACACCCGAGGTACAATAAATAGGCATTGCCCTGGGAAAACCACCTTTGTGATTATGGTATTTCTCCTGCCAGTAAGTATCGGTTGCCTGCCCCCTCCCCCCCCCCGCAAGGGAGCCTCACCATCTCCCACTATGCAGTTATGGTCACTGTCCTTCACACACACACACACACACACACACACACACACACACACACACACTCGGGCCCTTCTGGCTCTTCCACGCAGCAGATGCATGGGCGTCCACCCAGGGCCCTACGCTACCTAGCCCGCCTCCCGGACTCCATTGCGCTGCAACACCAGGGACCCAACCGGCAGTCCCTGCGCTGCCTCATCTGCATAGGAGACGCCTTCTCATGACGTCACAGGGCACCCTTCCTTCCAGTCGAAGCCACGCCCCACGCCCCACCCTCACGCCGTCCACCCCATAACTCGCGCATGGGCAGTGGCTGGGGGCTGTGACGTCGCCTCTCCCTCCTTCCCTCGCCCCCGCAACCGGCGTGGTGGACAGTGCCCGGGGATCCCAGCCTGGTCTCCCCGACCTTGCGAGGACACTTTGGGCCGCTTCCGGAGGCCTGGGTACCCTTCTTCACAGAAGGGCTCTTACTGCGTGCAATGGGGCGTTTAAGATTATAAAGGAAGCTGGTTCCCTTCATGTCGGGTTATCTGTGGGATGTAGCGGTCCAATTAAAATCTGAAGCTATCCAAGATCAAAAAGAAAAACCAGACGTATTTAGGAAACTAGAGACTATGCTCAGAGATGAGAGTGCTCCTTTCCTCTGGGTACAGGGAGCACGTATTAGCAGAGGGTCTTGGGACCTCTTCAGGGGAGGAGGAGGAGAAAGACAGAGACTTTTCTGCTGCCCTATTTGCATACATTGCTTCAGCTGATAATATTCACCGTGCCCAGGTGTCCTGTTTGGGGGTAGTGTGTCCTGAGCCCCACCCTACACAGGATACAAACTCAGACTGCAAATATGGGATAGATATGGCTACAAAAGTTTGTAATACAAAATACAAACGATGAATTTTAAATTTGTATATGTACAAGGGAATGAGTTTTTATTTACGTATTTTTCTCAAACTTACATGTGTTCCAAGCTTATGTAAAAAAATACTCTCTTCACCCCGTCATGATTTCTTTTTTCCATGGAAGTGAATTTCAGCCAATCTACCCATTATTCATCTACCTCCACACCTCTAAATGTTGATATTCGTATTCTTCCACCTGGGACAACAGCTTGCAACAAAACCTGGAGTTGTGTTCTTCCCTTCCTTCCAGTCCCCCCCCCCCCCACACACACACACAGGGCCAGCAAGGCTGCTGCCTTAGCTTCCCAGAGCTAGGGAACCCAGGGGCCATACCTCCCCACTCTGAGCCAAAGGAAATTGCCAGATCCAATGCCAGGCAAGCACCTTGCTGCTGCGGAGAAAATACCCTTTCCAGTCAGAGGCACAGATTGAGAATCTACAGAAGCAGCAGCTACCTACTCTTCTAGTATGATGTTTCGTTTCTCTGTTCTGCTATTGGCTTCTCCTTAGCCTTCATCCCGGCATCTCTCCCTCCCCGTATCTGTCTCCTGCTAAGGGCCAGCTGTGCCTGGCCCCCTCGGGGCTGCGCTTGCCTCCTTTAAGGTGGGAACATGGGCTCTGTGCAGGACTCTATGCCACACTTTGGAACACGATACATGGAGTCAGTTCCCAAACTGCTCTAGGGGGTCTGTGGGTTCCAAGAGGTGATCTTGGAGCTAGTAATCCAGAATGAAATCTGAATCTAAAGAGTCTAGCTTTTCTTTTTGATCTTGGATAGCTTCAGATTTTAATTTTTCTGTAGTATTGGGCACTACTTAGAAGTGTGTTTGTTTTTGTTAGTGTCCTGAGGTGTGTTTTTCATGGTGTTTATTGTTTGCTCACCAGTTATTTGTACTGTGAAATGAACTCTTACTGAAAAACAAGGTTCATGTTAAAATCTCCATTTACTGTTTATGGTTTCTAGTTTTCTCCCAATTTACTCGCGCAACGGCGTGCTGTTGTGTACAAGCGAACAGCTGATCTGGGTGTCACATAATCTGGGTGTCACAGCTGATCTGGGTGTCACATAAGATGGTGGTTTCTGTTTTACATTTGTAAAGGTATGATTTATAGAAAAAGTACTTTAAAGTGTATAAATAAAATTACAATGCATATAGAACTGCTCATGCTACATTTTTCAAAAAGAAGTTTGTAAATTGGGACTCTTCTAAGCTGTCTATATTTCGGGTATCTGGAACAAGGCCATTATCTCCCGTGAGTCTGATAGGCCCCATGATAAAGTGTGCACAAGTCATGAAGCGTGTAGTGACCTGACCTTCGGTTGAGGTAATAATTTTCTTTTGTTCTGGGAACCCACCAAGACATGTTGTTACAGATATTCTTCGTGTCTCAGATCTTACTCTCCCCTGATTTGCTTTTTCTCCCATCAGTTTTCCTATATTGATTTCTTGATTTTCTTCATCTCATCGGTAATTAAACTTTTACCTACTATTTAAAAAATCCAGGCCTAAAGTGACTGAGACATTCTTTACATGGTTTTATGTGACCACCTGCAGAGTGTAAGGTCTTTTTTGTTCAGTCCAAAGATAAAAATCTAATTAGAAATCAAAACTGATCTGCTAGCCACAGCTCAAATATTGCCATAACCTTTTAATAAGACTTCACAGGAAAAGGTTGCAAATGGCACTTTTGTTTTTGTTTTGTTTTTTGTTTCTTGAGAGAGTGTCTATAGTTCAGGCTGTCCTTGAACCCAGTATGTAGCCCAAGCTGGCTTCAAACACCCTGTGATTCCCCCAGCTTTAGCCTCCCAAATGCTGAGATTACAGGCATGTGCTACCACACCCAGCTCAAATGGCAGTTCTTGCCATCTTGGTGTTTTGCAAAGAACCAAGGATGTGAACTTTCACAATCAAAACTATTCATGTCCTACACTTTCTTTATGATGAATTTGGTTTTTGAGCAGCAATTCTTCTTAGTGCCCTTTAAAGATTAAACATCTGGAATTTCAAGACTAGAAAGAGGGTAATCCAGCCTGAGGAGGGCAAACACATGCTCCACCTGAAAGCCAAGAATTAACACCTTTACAAAACTAGCTGCTTTTTCTTGTAATCCACAAAGGAGCCCCCAAGCTCAAGTTTAAAAAATAAGGCAAAAACATATTTTAAAAAGCAGCGCTGATTTATTTTACCCTGGGCCCAGCGATACAGTGCAGCTGGAGACTACAAAAGCTGTGTGTCCTTCCTCTATACTTGCCACCTTTAAGTACATATCACAATTTACAAAGTAAGGAGGTCGTGGGCAGGGACGTGGGTCGGGAAAACTATTAATGAGGAAGACCTTTGTTTTCCTTAGGACAGAGCAGTCTAGCAGTAATTAACAACCCCTGTTAGCTTATTTTAGCACCACATCTGTTATTTGTAGAGGGCAACAATGGTAAACATATCAATTAGGTAAGATTTTATAGAGGAGAGTATTGATTAACATATCAATTAGGTTACCCAGAGGGGGAAAGAAAACACATATACAGTAAGGCCACATTACAGGTGTTTTGGTATAATACAAATATAACGAAGCTCTTTTTTCTAGAGTACAACACTTTTACCTGTTGGAGACCACTATGAAGCAGCTTTTGAGCTGGATTAAAAATTAACTAATTGGCTTTCTATGTGTATCTGTGAGTGTGTCCGAGGCTTAGGCCCCTTGCCTAGCCAGACAAGAGCTGATTCACAGTAAGTGAATCTGTATGAATCACTGGTCATACAGGACACCTGGCTCCACAATAATTAAGTTAATAGAGACTGCAGCTGAAGGAATCTCACTCCTGCAGTCGCACTCTTACCATAAATGTTATCATGGAGATAAGACAGTTCTCCTAAATTGGCATAATTTACTATTTAGAGAAGTCTTTGAAGGGACTCCCAAGGGCCTGCTCATTTCCTGCACTTACCTCAGTTTCCCTGCCCCTTGTTTTGACCTAATAAAGATGAGCAGTCCAGAGAAGTCTTTGTCTTAGCCCTCAGAGTCTCAAACTCAGCTAAAGGGGTTTGACCCTCTGGAACCCTAAAATCATACTACTTGTCTCATTTATTTAAGCCTTCGCTGTATACTCTTTTGGGAAATTGGGGTCTAGGTCAGGATCCAGTATTTACCAGAGCACTAACATCCTTGGTTTCTTTACAGGTCCCTGATTTTTAGTTTTAGTTTTGTTGTCTTTGAGACAGTCTTGCTTTGTAGTGCAGGCTGGCCTTAAAGTCACTATGTAGTTCAATCGGTGATCCTCCTGCCTTAGTCTTCTGTGTGCTGTGATTTACAGGTGTGCCTGGCTCTGATTTCTACATTTTTAAACCTTTTTTGAGACGGGTTTCACTGTGTAGTTCAGACTGGCCTTGAACTCACTACGAAGCCTACACTGGCCTCAAACTTACAGTGATCCACCTGCCTAAGTCTCCAGAGTGCTGGGATTGCCAAGTGTTTGCCACCATACACACAGAGACTTAATTTCAAATTAAATTGTGTCTAAAGGGCTGGGGATTTAGCTCAGTAACACAAGCGCTTGCCTGGCAAGTACGAGGTCATGAGTTTGATCCCTGGTACAAAAAAAAAATTGTTTCTGAAATCCCACATGTTCTACAGTAGGAGCAACTATCTTCATCCAGTTCTCTTTTAATGGTCTCTTAGCCAGAACTGGGATTTTTCTATTTTTTCTTTCCCACACAGAGCTTCATCCCTGCAGAAGGGCAGGAAGACAGGCCTCTTAGCCCACTGGCCTCCTCTGTGTCCATATGGCCTGCTCCCCCACCCTCCCCTGCTTCAGACAATTGCTGACTATCATTTCTTTATCCTTGGCCATGCTTTTGGAGGACCTTGGTAAACTCCTCCTTCCCTTTGCACTCTGTCTGCAGCTCAGCCATCTCCAGACCCAGCAAGCACTTCTAGCTTGGACACATGTGGCACTGCATTGTGCAGATGCCATTCACAAATTCTAACACTACTTGGTGGCCTGTGTGATCATTCCCAACATGTGAAAGAATATCACAGCCATGTCAGTTCAACCTTCAAGATCTCTGTAAATGTCTCCGGGC